ATCTTCATTGACTAAGGTAACAGCCATGAGGTCCTCAATGTCATACACTGCACCATGCTTTCTACTCGTGCTGAAATGCTTATGAATCATGAGCAATGCTTGACGTCCCCTAGCTGGTGTCCCTGACTTGGCTTGTTCTTCTTTGAAAATGTCAAGTTGCCGTGCAAAGTCCCCTTCGCAGATGTTGGTAAGCGAAGACATGAGCTTTGCATCAAGGGTCACGAACTTACCTGAGTCCTTCAAGGCATCGACGGACTGGTCCGTCTTGAACACTTCTTCAACCCATTGAAAAGCTAGGTCAGGTTTAGCTGAAGCTGCTATTACGGCATCCCTTACTCGGATTCTCCAATTACGATAATTTTCGGGTTGAGGGAACTTAGGTACTAGGATCCTATCAGACTCTTTGGCCTTATTATCAGTAGTCCTAGAACGCTCTAAAGCCCTCTTGACCTTTCGTGCAAAGGAACTCTCAGAATCCGAACTGGACGTGGTAGGCGATGAAGATGATGATGGGGAAGATGAAGGATCCCGACGACGTCGGCGTCTGGATCTTCCACGGCTGGTCTTGCGACCTTTCTTTTTGTCTTTCTTGTCCTTGCGACCTCTGTTGTCACTGAAGTCATCATCACCATCGTCATCATCAGGTGGTCCACCACCAGGAAGCCCTGGAGGCTTCAAAGGTTCTGCCATAAAGTGCTCGTCATCCGCATCGGATGAATGCTGCGGGTTCTTCTTTCCCTGAACCAACTCCTCAATGACGGGCCTGGAAGGTTGAGATGTCCCTGGATGGGGTTGTCCTGGTCCATAATGAATCATCAGTCCAGGAGTTCCCTCCAGAGGTTGAGTTGAGACTTTAAGTTCCGGATAAGCTCCTTCTGCTCCTTCCGAAGCTTCTCAATCTCGGCCTCGAAGTCTTTCTTCTGAGATTCAGCCATTCTTTTCATGTCCAATGTATATTGGTTCATTGCATCAATCTGAGTGCGGTACTCTGCAAGTTCCGAACAAGCTGCCTGCAGATCAGAGTTGAACTTCTCCGCAGACGATGTTGCGATACCTGCATTGTTGACGACATGTGTAAGTTCGGCACTCAGTTCCCTGATGCGATGATCCTGCGCTTGGACTTGCAGTTGAGCAGCCTTCTGCTCACTCATCGCTTGGGCGGCCTGTTCATTCAACAAAAGGTTCTTCCTGGAAATCTCGTCGGCTGCTTGTTGCTCAATGCTTGTAAGTTGATCTCGAGCTTCACTCACAAGCTCCAGACGTTGACGTTCCATGACCTCAGAGTGACGGACGTTGGCCTCACTCTGTAATGCCTGCTGTTGAGCAGCCATCAATTGGTTCGCCAGGCCTGGGTCGAGTCCCTGTTGTACCACTGCCACATGGGCGGTACGCTGATCAACACTGTTGAAGTTGATGGTGTTGAGTTGACTAATGTCAACGCTCGCATCCAAGACACCTGGCATGTTCCTGCGTGGATCATGTCGGCATGGGTCAAAGTCTTCGTCCAGGTAGCTCATGTCGCCTTCTGTCGTTGCCGCGCCTGAGTGGATTACCACTTCCTCAGGTTGTGATATGTTTGCCAGTGCCAATGCAGCCGTGACGTTCCCGCCCGGGACGGGAAGCGTAGGAGGATTGGACATGGCGAAAAGAGGAAGAGCGAAAAGCGTGAAACAAAGGAAATCAACCAATCGCTTCGCGATACGGCTGATAACCTGTAGAAACGGTATAAAAGCCGGGTTAAACCACTAATACCAGTTACTTAGACAACCTGCCCACGGCACTATTTCTTGAGCCATAGCCACATGGTAGCGAGGGTGAAATGACCTATACTAGGAGTACCACTGTGCAACAACACAAAGTATGGCTGGGGAATGTTGGGGGTATCCCCATTTTTGCAAAGACCCATCCAGATAAGGTTCCGAAACTTTCTGCTGGGACATGTTCATTCTTTTTCAGTTAGAACTGTGGACACGCAAAATAGGTTTCATTCAAAGTCCAAGCCCTTTTGCATTAGGATGACTGACTCATAAAGTCCTTGGAAGACTTGAGATAACTCCGAAAGTTCGAAGTGTCAAACGGCTAGGCTTCTAGAACCAAACGGTTTTTCTTGTAATATGTTTGTCTTTAGGGGTGGGGCCTTAAGGGCATCTAATCCTTATTGGTTTTCTTTTCATCGTGAGTTTGCCTACACTCAACGTACTGAACGTGCTTTCCTAGACTGGAGGTTGGTAGCAGAATTCCCACCCTAGAAAACTCTGAGGAAGGCTTTAGGAAGACTCTTCGACCGTGACATCGCTTTCACATCGCTAGGACATTCATGTATTTGCATGAATGTTCCCCTGAACCTCCACTGACGCTACTACAACCCAACAAAAAATGCGAAGCAGAAAATTGCGACCACATTTGAGCACTGTAGAATTTAGATGCCTGTAATTATGTGGTATCATGCTACTGTTAAGTTATGTTATCTTTAAATTTGATTTAGGTTTGAAGATTTGAAGACGAGGTGTCTCTACAAAATCTCGCGTCGCAGCACTCCTTCGTTTCTTGTATCTCCTTTAGATCCTGCAAACCCTTACGTCCCATCATACCCTGAAGCGCCCCATAGATCTCAAGGTACTGTACAAGTGTACACACGTAACGTCCCCAAGCATTGTATACGTCTGTACCCATCTAACGCCCCCCCCGTACCGTACCCCGTACCCACGCAACGCCCCCATGTACCGTACCCATGTCCCTACATGACCGTACCCACGTACCTGCATGACCGTACCCATGTACCTTTATGGCTGTACCCATGTACCTACATGGCCGTACCCATGTACCTACATGGCCGTACCCATGTACCTATATGGCCGTACCCATGTACCTACATGACCGTACCCCCTACACCCCCTGTGTATGTACCTCAGCGTTTCTCTTCAATAGAAACCACTCGTTTCATTACTCTCCAGTGTAGATAAATTGTATAATATTAATTTGAGTTTTGCAAGATGTTGGCGCCCGCATTTTTCCGTCACACAGGGTCTTTGAGTGACCTGTCACCTGGAAACAAATCTGCCAGGAACTGATCCTGCCAAAATGCCAAGAACAAGGAGAGGCGTTGCAAGTCGCTACCTTCTGCTTGAATTTTCTTCGACATGTGAGATGCTTTCAAGAAACCATCTGGGAAAGGAAAAAAAAATTTGCCACCAGGATATAGCAGGAACGTGCGTCGCTGTCGTGCGTGCAGTATCGATGTGCGTTCAGGTTCAAACAATCCATGTTTCTTACCTACCTTTCAGGTGTCGACGCTGTTAAGGGGCCGTGTGCTGTCTCCATTTTTTCGGTTTTGCGCGTTTTTCTTGTCATTGTGATTGTGAACCGGGTGGAGGGGGGTGGCGGGGTAAGGGGGGGATGTTAACGTTCTTTGCATCTGCAAGGTTCTCTTGCACTTCCACACATACGTCATGCTACGCCACTGCTAGGTTTTTGTTGCACATTCACGGAAACGTTGTGCGACGCTACTGCTAAGTTTCTCTTCCACTTCCACTCGCACATACGTCATGCTATGCTACTGCCAGTTTCTCTTGCACATTCACACATACGTCATGCCACGCTACTGCTAGGTTTCTCTTGCACTTCCACACATACGTCATGCGACGCTACTGCTAGGTTTCTCCTGCACTTCCACACATACGTCATGCTACGCTTCTGCTAGTTTCTCTTGCACACTCACACATACAATATTCTACGCTAGTTACTGCTAGGTTTGTCTTGCACATTCACACATACGTCATGCTACGCTACTGCTAGGTTTCTTTTGCTTTTCCACACAGACGTCATGCTACGCTACTGCCAGTTTCCCTTGCAATTCCACACATATGTCACGCTATGCTACTGCTAGTTTCTCTTGCGTTTCCACACATACGTTATTCGACGCTACTGCTAGTTTTTCGTGCACCTCCACACATACGTCATGCTACGCTACTGCTGGTTTTTGTTGCTCCTCCACACATACGTCATGCCACGCTACTGCTAGGTTTCTCTTGCACTTCCACACATACGTTAGGCTATGCTACTGCTAGGTTTCTCTTGTTTTTCCACACATACGTCATGCGACGTTACTGCTAGGTTTCCCTTGCACTTCCACGCATACGTTATGCTATGCTACCGCAAGTTTCTCCTGCACATTCACACATACGTCATGCTTCGCCACTGCAAGTTTCCCTTGCACACGCACACATACGTCATGCTACGCTACTGCTAATTTCTCTTGCACATTCACACACACGTCATGCTACCCTACTGTTCGTTTCTTTTGCGCTTCCACACATACGTCATGCTACGCTACTGCTAGTTTCTCTTGCACTTCCACACATACGTTTTGCAAAGCTACTGCTAGGTTTCGAGGAGGTTCACGTTTGCGTTTACAAGACTTTTGTGATTGATGGTACGCCAGCAGCACGTGTTTTTTTTCCTTTTTTCTTGACAACTGGTGGATGTTGAATGTCGGTATAATAACATGATGGAACATGTTCATTTTTGCATGCATCATTTGCACCGTTCATTATTTGAAAACTCCGCTGCTTATGGGTTTCAGTTTTGGAGGGAATGTGGTCTCTTCCGGCTCCTGGTCAAGTTTTTTCTGTTGGTGTTGGTTTGTCTTTTGTTTTGTTCTGTCGTTTGTCTCGTGTTCCGTGTCCCTTGTTTTGTTTGGAGTTAATTTCCTTGTGGCAATTTCCTTTGTCTTTTCTTGATTCTCACCAAGATTCTTTTTGTTCTGTGTTTACTGGATCCGATATTTGCTGGTTTTCTCAAGTTGTGTGTGGGGATCCTTCTGGTGTTTTTCCTTGGCTATACGTGTGTTGCCTCACGTGCTTTCCTTGTCTCGCTTGTGGTTTAACGTTAGTCGGTCTCTACGTCCTTCGCCAGTGGTCACCGGTGCTCTCCTGATTTTCGCTCGTCGGTTTTCTCGCTTTCGCTCTCCCTCGGTACTTCCGTCTTCCGTGTACGCAGCCATGGACGCAGTGGCAAATCTTCCGCCAGATGTGTTTCTGGGCCTCATTGGGTTGCGTTCGTTACATGTGTTAACTTGTCCTTGGTGTGTTTGCTGGTGTTTGTTTTTGGTTGCCTCTTGAGGTTTCGCTCCGGTGACACTACTCCACGTTCAAAGTCTCGCTCCAGATCTCCACTGCGGTGTCTTGCACGCATGTTCGGGGGCCGTGGTCTTTCTTCATGTTGTTTCTTTTTAAAAAAAATCGCGCGAATTTTTCCTAGGCCCGCTCCTGCGCAACAGCGTTTGCAGCCAGCGTCTTCTGCTCGAAGCTCTGCTGCTCGTGAAGATGATTTGGTTTCTCCTTTGCACATGGAAACCTCATATGTCAGCGGTTTTTTTTAAACAATTTGGTGCTGCGCAGCAGAATCAGGGATTTCTCCATATCTTCACGTTCCTCAGGTATTCCTCGACTATCTGGACGAAGGGCCTAGTCCTATGCGTGTGGAAGACAGTCCGCATACAAAGAAACGCAAGAGTGCCTGGGTGGTTCCAATACACACGTTCCGAAACACGAGAAAAAAATAATTCATACAATTTCATTCTTCTTCCAGAGACCTTGCCTCAGCAGAAACAGCAGTACTGTCACAGCCATATCGAGTTACAAAAAGAAACTATATACATATTAAAATAACTATTTGTATGATTAGTTTTACTACATATATATATACACAAATTCTTGATTGCTTGCAGAGTGGTTAACGCATATGTTTTTATGAAATCTTCATGTTGATGGGATAGTTTTGGGGTGTTTATGCAATAATAATACAGATGTTTGGGTTTTTTGGTTTCCATGACTTATTCTTTGTCAATGATGTGATTTTGACCATCAGATTCTTGGATTGCGGAGATATTGGTTGTAGCAATAATGCAACTTCATGATTCATGGTTGGGGTGAAATTCGTTCTTGGGATAATTTTGGAAAAATAATATTCAAAACCATGAATGTGGGGATGCTTGGATAAGTTTTGATCGATAGTGTAAATATAAAACCTGGATCATGGTCTCATGATGGTATGATGTTTAAACCAAAAATGAGATGGTAACACGAAGAAATTTTTTTCCAAACTTAACAAGCCGTGCATGCAAACCTGTTGGTACAGGGATCCATAAAATCTAGATACCCTGACTAGTCGAAGGAAGTTTAGAAGCTTTATTTTTCCAAAACCCAAAAACCGCGGACATCCACATATATGCGCACATATCAAATATCTTATCACTCATATATTTCTTAATTCTTAAAAAACCAAAAAGGCCAAATAATCGGCCACGGCTTCTCGGCAGTAAAAACACTCACAGCGTAAAAACAACTGCACAGCATGGCTTCACTCGGACTTATATTATTGTCTTTTTCCCGAGAGCGCCTGCGAAGGGTTCTTCGTAAAAAAGCAGCCGTTATACTACATCTTCACACCTTCACATCTGCTGACCTACATCTTCACACCTTCACATCTGTTGATCTACATCTTCACACCTTCACACCTGCAGATCTAGATCTTCACACCTTCACATCTGCTGATCTAGATCTTCACACCTTCACATCTGCAGATCTAGATCTTCACACCTTCACACCTGCAGATCTAGATCTTCACACCCTCACACCTGCAGATCTAGATCTTCACCCCCTCACACCTGCAGATCTAGATCTTCACACCTTCACATCTGCTGATCTACATCTTCACGCCTTCACATCTGCAGATCTACATCATACACCCTCACACCTGCAGATCTAGATCTTCACACCTTCACATCTGCTGATCTAGATCTTCACACCTTCACACCTGCAGATCTAGATCTTCACACCTTCACACCTGCAGATCTAGATCTTCACACCCTCACATCTGCAGATCTACATCATCACACCTTCACACCTGCAGATCTAGATCGTCACACCCTCACACCTGCAGATCTAGATCTTCACACCTTCACATCTGCAGATCTCCTCTCGCTCTTCTTCTATTCTCTCTTAAGGCGGGGGCGGTGCCGCCGGAGCGCCACGAAACGCAACCCTTTCGCACGAAATGGACGTTGGACGCCAAAAACTGAGGGAAAATTGCGATTTTACTTTGTCCATTGCAACCCTTTCGCACGAAATGGACGTTGGACGTCAAAAACTGAGGAAAAATTGCGACTTTGAGGTGTCCCGCGCAACCCTTTCGCACGAAATGGACGTTGGACGTCAAAAACTGAGGAAAAATTGCGACTTTGAGGTGTCCCGCGCAACCCTTACGCACGAAATGGACGTTAGACGTCAAAAACTGAGGAAAAATTGCGACTTTGAGGTGTCCCGCGCAACCCCTTACGCACGAAATGGACGTTGGACGTCAAAAACTGAGGAAAAATTGCGACTTTGAAGCGTCCGGCGCAACCCTTTCGCACGAAATGGACGTTGGACGTCAAAAACTGAGGAAAAATTGCGACTTTAAGTTGTCAATCGCAACCCTTACACACGAAATGGACGTTGGACGTCAAAAACTGAGGAAAAATTGCGACTTTAAGTTGTCAATCGCAACCCTTACGCACGAAATGGACGTTGGACGTCAAAAACTGAGGAAAAATTGCGCTTTTGCTTGGTCCATCGTAACGCTTTCGTCTGTGTAAAATCGTCTGTGTGTAAAAGTGCCGTGTGTAAAAGCGGTTGTGTGTAAAAGCGTCTGTGTGTAAAAGGGTCTGTGTGTAAAAGCGTCTGTGTGTAAAAGCGTCTGTGTGTAAAATCGTCTGTGTGTAAAAGCGTCTGTGTGTAAAAGCGTCTGTGTGTAAAAGCTTCTGTGTGTAAAAGCCCCTGTGTGTAGAAAGCGTCTGTGTGTAAAAGCGTCTGTGTGTAAAAACGTCTGTGTGTAAAAGTGTCTGTGTGTAAAAGCGTCTGTGTGTAAAAGCGTCTGTGTGTAAAAGCGTCTGTGTGTAAAAGCGTCTGTGTGTAAAAGTCTCTGCGGGTAAAAGCCTCTGTGTGTAAAAGTCTCTGTGTGTGAAAGAGCCTGTGTGTAAAAAGCGTCTGTGTGTAAAAGCGTCTGTGTGTAAAAAGCGTCTGTGTGTAAAAGCGTCTGTGTGTAAAAGCGTCTGTGTGTAAAAGCGTCTGTGTGTAAAAGCGTCTGTGTGTAAAAGCGTCTGTGTGTAAAAGCGTCTGTGCGTAAAGTAAAAGCGTCTGTGTGTAAAAGCGTCTGTGTGTAAAAGCCTCTTTGTGTAAAAGTGTTTGTGTGTCAAAGCTTCTGTGTGTAAAAGCGTCTGTGTGTAAAAGTGTCTGTGTGTAAAAGCGTCTGTGTGTAAAAGCGTCTGTGTGTAAAAGCGTCTGTGTGTAAAATCGTCTGTGTGTAAAAGCGTCTGTGTGTAAAAGCGTCTGTGTGTAAAAGCTTCTGTGTGTAAAAGCCTCTGTGTGTGAAACTGTTGTGTGTAAAAGCGTCTGTGTGTAAAAGGGTCTGTGTGAAAAAGCGTCTGTGTGTAAAAGCCTCTGTGTGTAAAAGCGTCTGTGTGTAAAATCGTCTGTGTGTAAAAGCGTCTGTGTGTAAAAGCGTCTGTGTGTAAGAGTCTCTGTGTGTAAAAGTGTTTGTGTGTAAAAGTGTTTGTGTGTAAAAGTGTTTGTGTGTAGAAGCTTCTGTGTGTAAAAGCTTCTGTGTGTAAAAGCGTCTGTGTGTAAAAGCGTCTGTGTGTAAAAGCGCAAAAGCGTTTGTGTGTAAAAGCGTCTGTGTGTAAAAGCGCCTGTGTGTAAAAGCTTCCGTGTGTAAAAGCGTCTGTGTGTAAAAGCGTCTGTGTGTAAAAGCGCCTGTGTGTAAAAGCTTCTGTGTGTAAAAGCCTCTGTGTGTAAAAGCTTCTGTGTATAAAAGCCTCTGTGTGTAAAAGCTTCTGTGTGTAAAAGCCTCTGTGTGTGAAACTGTTGTGTGTAAAAGCTTCTGTGTGTAAAAGCGCCTGTGTGTAAAAGCTTCTGTGCGTAAAAGCACTTGCGTGTAAAAGCGCCTGTGTGTAAAAGCGTCTGCGTGTAAAAGTGTCTGTGTGTAAAAGCGTCTGTGTGTAAAGGTGTCTGTGTGTAAAAGCGACTGTGAAAGTGTTTGTGTGTAAAAGCATCTGCCTGTAAAAGCGCCTGTGTATAAAAGCGTCTGCGTGTAAAAGTGTCTGTGTGTAAAAGCGTCTGTGTGTAAAAGCCTCTGTGTGTAAACGCGTCTGTGAAAGTGTTTGTGTGTAAAAGCGTCTGTGTGTAAAGGAGTCTGTGTGTAAAAGCGTCTGTGTGTAAAAGCCTCTGTGTAAAGGCCTCTGTGTGTGAAAGTGTTTGTGTGTAAAAGCTTCTGTGTGTAACAGCTTCTGTGTGTGAAAGTGTGTGTGTCTAAAAAATCTGCGTGTAAAAGCGTCTGTGTGTAAAAGCCAATGCGTGTAAAAGTGTCTAGTGTCTATGTGTAAAGGCGTCTGTGTGTAAAAGCCTATGTGTGTAAAAGTGTCTAGTGTCTGCGTGTAAAACCTTCTGTGTGTAAAAGCTTCTGTGTGTAAAAGCGTCTGTGTGTAAACGCTTCTGTGTGTAAAAGCGTCTGTGTGCAAATGCGTCTGTGTGTAACAGCTTCTGTGCAAAAGCGCCTGCGTGTGAAAAACAATACGAAGGATAGGATGCAAACTAGTATTTTGTACTTGTAATATATTGTCTTGATACTACTTGTCTCGCCTGCCTAAAATACATCTTTAATATATTGTCTTGCAAGATAGTGTCTCAATACTAACAACAGAAGACCCTGCTCTCTCTCTCTCTCTCTCCCTCTTTCTCTCTCTCTCTCTCTCTCTCTCTCTCCCTCTCTCTCTCTCTCTCTATCTCTCTCTCTCTCTCTCTCTCTCTCCCTTTCTCTCTATCTATGTCTCTCTGTGGTTGCAAGACACGTGTCATATGATGCCCTTTACCAAGCAGCACAGTGCATATGCATGGGTTGTCACATGTATCCTCTTCTTAATCAATCTTACTTTTCACAACTTCCCCCTCCATAGCTCATATAAAATTCACCAACCTATCACCGACTATTTTTTACGACTACCATACTCAGAGCTGCTTGAAAAACGTCTTTTTCGCTCTCGGGCCAACCGTCGTCTAGTTTCTCTTTACTTATAGATGGGGGATTTCACGCCGCCCGCTTTCGGGGGAATAAACGCACGAAACGCGGAGCTGTACAGAAGCTATACGAAGGTTTCGGCGTAAAGGAAAGAGAATAAAAAGGGTGCTGTCACCAATTTGTAGGGTGGGTGGGGGGCTCAAAAAGAAAACGCAAAGTCCACAATAAAGTGGAACCCACCCTCCCTCCCTTTGGAGGCGCTGCTTGAAAAACAATGGCCACACGAAAACATATATTTTCTCAGACCCATAAAAGAAAGGTTACACAACTGATTGTGTAAACAGATAATTCTTCACTATGATTGTGCGTGTCATCCTTGCGTAGGGTTTAAATTTGAAACAGATGGCAATTGCACTCAACAGCCAGTTTGTAAAAACCAGTGGTTGAAACAGGAAGGGTTTCAAAAAGAAAAAGAAGGTTTGCATTCAAAACAAGCTTCTCCAAGTGGAC